GGCTGCCGGGAGCAGACCTTCCTCTGGCAGCACCCAGCATCATCCGCCCGTCCGCACCGGGAGACGACGGGCCCCGAGGCTGCCGCAGCATCTCCCCCACCCTCCGGCACCTTGTCTGACACAGCGAGGGCTCCCAGTAACAGCCTTTTAAATTCTGTTCAGGGCTACATGACAGCAGCTTAAGTGCAAGTTATAGTCGTAAATTATGTATGAATTTCCATCTTTCTCACCTGCAACATCTCTCACTAGTATAAGCATATAAAAAGGTATTATCTGATAAAGTAGTACATTCTACAGCTTCTTCAAGAAAGCCTGGATTGAATGCAAATCTTGGAAAGAAGAGTCAAATAATTAAACCTAAAAATAGTGTAAATATTTATTTTTAAAAAGCACCGAAACAACTTCATTACACAACTCTGAGCCTGGCAGACTCACGCACTGCACCAGCTGTGTCACACACAGAGCTCCTGGAAGTGCAGTTCTTTTTCCTCCCTCTAATTGGGACCAGGAATCTCGCACCTTCTCCTCCCTGCTGGGCAAGAATCAATGGCACCAATCTCACACCGAAGAAGAGCTGCCTCACAGGCTGCTGAAACAAGCTGCAGAACCCCAGAGTTCAAGACAGACTAACGAGGCTGCCGAAACGGCATCAGCCAGAGACTTCCCCGGGCAGAGAACCGGTGCCCCCGACCCCCCTCAGCCCTTTTTTCCACAAAGACGTGGTGCTCGGGAACGCAGACTGGCCAGGGACAGCGAGCAGAGCGGCTCCTCGCGCACCAGGGGGCTGCCCCGTCGCGGGTCCAACCTCTCCGCCAACCCAGACGCTCGTCTGCCCGAAAACACCGGTGCATTTCCCACGCACGATTCCCAGTCGGCACCTATAGCTACCCACCTTCCTTCCAGACCTCCCCGGCCCAAATTCTCACCCCAGCCACCTAAAGCAAGTCTTTTAAATTGTTTGCAGAGATGTCCGAGACTGTAAAACTTCAGCCAGTGCACAGTCTTCGTTATTTCCCTGCGATGCACCAGTTAACAGCTCTCAGCTCCTCAGCTGCTAATGCAGAGCCGCTACACCTTGCTGATTCACGCCCCATGGAAAGTCCCCCGCACAGCAGACACCCTCTTCCTAACACCTAGACTAATGCCAATTCAAATCACCAGCTCCCTGCAGATGTCCCAGCCCATAAAACCTGTGACGTTACCAGTCTGTTCCCTTCAGACGCTGCCTTTCATCTTCACGGTTAATGCCTCGTGGGTATCAAAGACAGCATCTGGGATATCTTTAGGAGATGCAAGAAATTCACTTTTCCCCAGATAGCGCTGCAGTTCAGATTTTCCTGTCTGAAACAAGTAGGGAAGAAAAATAGCTCCTGTTTTACAGAGAGCCTTTAAAACCCCCGTCAGCTGGCTCTCACGGGCGCGTCCTCCGCACAGCATTTGCGCGCTCCCCAGCTGTCGCACAAGCGTTTGAACAGCGTTCTGCACTCGGATGGCACTTACCGACGGGCAGGCGGAGGGTGATGTTGTTGCAGAAGTCGGTGTAGCAGCACTCGGTCTTTGTGATGTTCTTGGAACTGTGGCAGAAGACCTGGGCGTTGAGCTCCGGCAGGGAGACGCAGGACTTGATCACCTCCTCCCGCCCGTTGGTCAGCATGACCGAAGCCCAGCAGGCCCCCTCCGTATGGCACGTGAAGTTGGTGTGCTCGCACAGCTGGCACACGCACTTCAGACCTGAAAGAGAGGTTCCAGCTTTCGTGAGCAGAGCCTGGGAAGACAGACCCCCCCACGGTGACCGTGCCAGCTTGCCTTGCCAGCCTACACCGATGGACGGGCTCCGGGGCTGCGGGAGGCAGCTCATTCCGGGAGGATGCCGACAGCACGGGTCCCCAGCACCCCCAGACAACACGTTTTTAAAGCAGGTGGTCCTCAGCCACAGGGAAGTGCACAGCATCTGTCTCGCGTGGTGCGGAAGACTGACCACCCAAGGAGCTCCTGCCTGTTGCCTAGGTGGGCAGACGGAGGTTCAGGTCTTCAGGTTTACACTCTCAGCTCCCACGGGCTCAGGACAACACCCCAGACAACACTCAGGACAAACACGTGGGCACGTGCTCCATCCCCAGATGTGCATTTAGAGACAGCTACATTCATTATGTACCAAATCTTAAACCACCTCAACAGCCGCTGTCTCGGTGGTGACCCTCGAAACTCGGCCAGCCCTCACCTAGCGACACGCACGCCTCGCCAGCGCCGGCCAGCCTGGGGCAACGAGCCTGAGGAATCGCCACCACCCAGCGCCCCTGACCTTCGTCAACACCCGGCAGCAACCACGGACTTTCCTTCCCCCTGCCCATCTTCTGAGATGACGCGTCTTTGTCAGGCACAGAAATGGCTGCCCAGTTTCTTTTGGTGCAAAAGTCCGGTAACTTCTAGGTTTTGCATGGTTTTAACCATATCTGCATGTTTTACCCAATCAAATAGAAACCCATTGAACGACTAGTACATTTTTCAGGCTTTATGGACTCTTGGAAGAAGAGGAGGAAACCAAAGCCACATCATCTCACCAAAACACCAGATGCCGACAATAAATCTTGTTGTCTTCCTTGTTTTCCTCACCTGCTTCATAACAAACAATTTTCGCTTGCTTCACGCTGAGTTTTGGAGCCCACGTTGGCGGTGACACAATAATCAAGATGTCTTAACCTTGTGCTGAAATAAATTTCTAGAGGAAACCCTTCCTTCACTGCACTTTATAGGATTATTCTGTTTCTGTAAAGATCCCTCATTTTAGAGCACAGAGACTTGAACTCTCTGTGGTTTGACTTCAGCAGTTCGTATCCCACCGCAGGGTCCCCAGAACGCATTCTGCACACCTTCCCGGGTTGGTCAGACCTCTGCAAGACTGAACACTGCTCTTATAGGAGCTAGGATATATATAAAAAAGTCATTTTATCCTTAAATCCATCCTGTTTCTTGGGGGGAGGGGGCTCTTTCTTGTACCTGAAGATAACAGACATCTAAAAAGTAACATCCTGAGAGGACCAGGATGGCCCCAGCACAGCAGAGCTTCCTTCTGCGCGCTGGCCAGCCCCCCGCAAGCCCGCGTTCTCCAGTGGCTGGCGCGGTCCTCC